CTGTAAAATAAAATAAAAACACACTAGATACTTAATAAGAACCATAGATTGAATAATATAGCTTGTTACAAACATACAGAAACTAAGTCTATCGATCTCCAAACAACATAGGGATCAAGAGAACGGTTTTACGGCAGACCAACGCCTCAATATGTCTGCAAACGACTATCTTAAAGTGCAGAAGCGGGATTTATGCCAATAAGTGAGGTTTACTGAAACTTCGAAAGAGCAACTAGTTTTTTGAAAAAGTAAAGACATCACGTCACTCACCAATAATATGACGGTAGGGTAACGCTTCAGTTTGAGATTAAATTGTATAACGTGACCAATTATAGTAAACCAGTAATAGGCAAGATGAAATCAGGCACAATTCCTTGAGACTTGTTCGAATGTGAAATTTTCATAACCGATCGATATTCACGAGACATGGTGAGGTGACAATATTTTCCTAAATATTTATCTTCTTCTACTACACTCACTTTTTTAAATGCTTCATCGTTCAATGAATTTTCAGCTTTCAAATCGTTTAGACATTCGGGCAATTTCGGTACAGATAAATCGACTGGTCGAAGATTTGCGTAATCTTTAGGTAAATCAACGTTCCACTGATTTAAATCAGTTATAAACTGTAAGATTTTATCAGGTTCAGGCATTTGAACCAGCATCAATTTACGCAACGATCCATTTGAATCTCGGCTGAAAGTGATTTTTTGTAAAGATAGAAAATGAACTATCAAGAATGAATAAACTATTTCAGGAGAAATAAATTATGATAACAAAACACTTAATGAGTAGGAGGCTTTATGTGGTGCCCAAAAACACTTATCACAAAGATTGAAAAACTTTAAAGAGTATATAGAGCGTAGTCAGAATATCTTCTTAGAAGTAATTATTCTAAGTTGATATTTTCCTTAGCAAAACACTAAGGGAAATCGAGAGATCCCGAAGAAGCGGAATCTGGGCGGGATATATTAGATTAGAACAGAAAATTTATCAAATTGTAGTAATAGATAACCATGAAATCAACATATGTTACGGAAACCTGTTTTAAGTTACTGAATGTCTCTGACCATTTATATTTCTCAGTCGATACCAAATCGCATACCATCAGATTAGTAGATATTTTTTAGGATGATACTACTCGATAGAATAGTCTACCTAAAGCTAAACGTAACAGCTACAAACTCACCGCGAAACTGATAGTAAATTGAAATATTTTTGGTAACATGGGTTTAACCCTTTTTACCAATATTTCACCTAGATCTAAAACAATACATTTAATCTGGAAATCGGTAATCTGATGACTGTTTCACTGGCGAGGCGACGTGTATAGATACTTTACTGTTAACAGGTATCGTTACCAAGGTTTGACTTGATAATTTCGAATAAATTGAGAATTGTGTAGATTGGTACAAATACATTACTTACTGTTAACAGTTGCACAACTGAAAGAAAAGCACTGTTAAGCTGAATTTGAAGGTCGATGCTCTACAAAAATAGAATGAATCTGTACGTTCAGAGCAAATAGACGAAGTAAAACTTAGATGTAAACAGGATTGATATAATTCTCTAAAAAATCTAACTGAAAATACTTAACATTTTCTGTATAAAATAATTATTTACTACACTTACAAATAAGTTATGCCAATTTAAATTAAAAATAGTTACATCTATTAAAGTAACTCAAAACCGCTTTATCCTCTAATCTGACCAAGTAGACTCTGTAAAATGTTGAGTTGAATAAACTCTACACCTATCATCGTGTATTGAAGAAACAGTTTAGAATTCACTTTTAAGGTGTAAACACCAGTTAATTAATTACTGACTAGAACTGATTTATCAGAGGTATGGCTGCCGTCGTTTCTGGTAGCAGAAGAAAATTTTAATCCAAAACATGTTCTAGATGTAAACGAATTATGTGTTAACCAACACACTTGTATCAGTGCAGATGAGTGAACGAAAATTCAACAGGCAAAGCAATAAGTTACAAAAAGGTCAACGAGGTTTTGAAGGAACTTAACTTTTAATTTGTCTCAACCGCAGTCAGTAGAAATGTGCATACAAATTACGACACTTCTGAGTTGTCATAATACTGTAGTGAACGAGAACACAAGTGGGACAATCGAATGTATTTGAATACAAAATTACAGAACATCTTAGTAAAATCGGAGAATCATACAACAAATACTTCAGACAATCGTCTCAGACTTGATTGTTCTTTCGTCTCCACACCAACCATTCTTTGTCTCCGTTCTCTTTTCTTTGATCTTCTTAACCTTCTGCATCCAGGCATTTCACTTTCGATTGATGATACGTACTACTTATATCTGTCGACATCAGTAGCACACACCACAATACTATTCAGCCGAATAGTGTTGGGAACTATCGACAAAGGTTCAGTACAGAAGTCACTTATCTGCCCTTAGACTCAACTACACCCGACCGTTGTTGCTACCTCGACGTGGTGGTCGGGTTTGCCTATCGTGATGAAGCAACCGAAAGCGAAGTCGTACTGCTGACTGTACAGAGGTGTGACAGCAGTAAGGTGTTTCCTTCAGACAACCAGCATGACAGCGATGCTGTCTTCCCACAAGGAGGGGTGGGGTTAGAAAAGGTCGACCCTAAAGATGCACACCTCACCTTACCTCACGGATTTCCGTCTCCGGCGGTAAGGCTCTTTGAAGAACGGAGCTAACACGTCAAAAACCTCCCACGAAAAGGCCGTGCACGACCGACCTCAAGCAGTTGTCCCTTGGGCACTGCGGTCACGCTCTCAGGTCACTGAGACCACCTCTAATCCAATTTCCTTTTCAGGTACCTCCAGAAGAACCCTTCCTCGGTGTGGGCAACCGGCAAGCGATAACCGCCCTCATACCTCTAACAGCACTCGAGACTCAACTACATATCAAATGTTGGATCGCTTAAATTCATCAAACTAACAAGACAATTTTATATGAATAAACTCACAGGTTTTGTACGACTGCTTTCAGTCGTACAGCATGTGTTTAGTGCACATTCTGGCTGACGAGATCTGTTATTCTGTTCGAGATAGAGTGAGGATATATATAACTTTGATGTATGGGATGTAATGTCGTTTCGTGAGAAAAATTGAAAACGATTTCAAAATACCTCAGAAATATATTACTTTCACGCCACTAAATGATTGGAGTCAGGTTTTTCCTATTACTATAGGTAGAACTACACTAGCTATAATCTTTGACATTCATATAATTCAAAATATAGAACTACCATACGCCGCTACAATTGTAACTAACCATTAAAAACATTGCATTGGTTAATGTCAAAATCCACATATACGCCTGAGGAGTTTGGTAATAAACAACCAAAGAGAGATGAATTTCTAATCAAGCAGATACTTTCTAAGAATTAAACAATTCAGTATAAATATGAAATGAGTTGTGTTGACGGTAACAATCTAAACATTATACTAGGAAACTTACTAAGTTTTAGATATTTTAGGTAGTCGGATAAAAGGACA